TGGAAATATGAGAGGAAGAGGCAGCAGGCTGGAAAAAACAGACATAGTTAAGGCAGGAATGGGTTGCTTCAGGGAACTTGAAGCTGAATAAAGGGAGGGGAATTTTAGTAAAATCAGGAAGATGAGGGTTAATTCACACTTTTGGAGAATAAAGCCAAGCTCAGATAAGATGGAATAGTGAAAAAGATAGCCCTGAGTCCCAGAAGAAAAGGCAGAATATGAATCTAACAAGAAGTTACATGCTGGTTTCTTATACTTCTTTCTCCACATGAACCTGGGTTGTAACATCACAATGTGCCATGTTTAATGCTTAAATATGTTTATTTTGCTTAAATAAACTGCTGAACAGCCATGACAGCTGTACACTGTCCGCCTCACACACCCCAGTTGCTCTAGGCATTATAGAGAAGATCTGATCCTTTTAGGCACCACAGATTACACACAATGGTGGGATTCCATTTTTTTTACTACCGGTTCTGTGGGCGTGGCTTGGTGGGCATGGTGTGACATGGCGGGCGTGGCAGGGGAAGGCTACTGTAAAATCTCCAGTCCCACCCAACTCCAAGGGAAGGTTACTGCAAAATCCCCATTTCCTCCCAATCAACTGAGACTTGGGAGGCAGAGAATAGATGGGGGTGGGGCCAGTCAGAGGTGGTATTTACTGGTTCTCCAGAACTGGTCAGAATCTGCTGAATACCACCTCTGATTACAAAGCATCAAAATATAGACTGACCATTCAAGGAAAGGGGATGTCCATTAAATCCAAATTTCCATAATTTGCTTTGATTTATTTCACTTATACACTGTAACTATGCAAATTGACAAAATAAGCATCATTATATCTTGAAATTTTCAATTTAATGAGTCAAAATATGACAAAAATGTTCACTGTATATCAAGCCCACTAAATCAAGGACTTACTGTATTTTAATAACAAATGTATTTTACCCAGGAGGCAGCTTCAGTATACTTTACTCATATAAAAATTTCTCCCCATATTGTTTTCTATATTTGAAAAAGTCTATTTTCCCCCAGTAAAATAATCCACTTCTTTTTTTTCCTTCTTAGAAAAAGTTAAATGATTTCCTGCTTTCCTAACTTTCTTCACAGCTTTTCAAATCCTTGTCTAACTGTACACTTGAAATTAATTCACTATGCTGGCAAGACTGGAAGGAACATTAAATAGATCATATTTTTCTTCCCATCCCAATATCAGCCTTAAAAAAAACAATCTTCAGAAATAATACTTACCTTACACCAGTATTTCTCACTGGTGCTGGCTGGGGAATTCTGGGAGTTGAAGTTCACACATGTTAAAGTTGATATGGTTAAGAAATATTGCCTTACACCCTTCCCAGTTCTTTCCCAGTCAGGCTATCCGGATTACAAATGGCTTATGCAGTTTTACAGTAGACAATGAACCTTTGGTTGGAGGGGGAAATAAAAAACCACTATATTTTCTTTTCTTTTTGTGAAGTGGGCTTGGCTGACCAACCACATATATTATTCTCAATTGCTTTCCAAGCCTTTTTTCAAAGGGCTATCTTGGCAAGCCTAGCAAAACCTCAAAACAGCAGCTGTGAATTTAGGAAGACTCCTCACTGTTTGTGTTTGGAGAAGAAATAAGCAGCTTGTTTTTCTATTATTCTACTGCAGGCAAAGGGCTAAGCCAAATATTTGTATCTTGCAAATTGAGTAATTGAAACTTTAGCCTATGAGCTCAAGCCTTCAGTGGCTTACTCTGCTGTCCAACCGCAGTTACAGCAAGAAGAAATATAAATCTGGTCAGTACAAGGTGGGTGAAAACAATAACAACACACACACACAGAGGAAGCCTTTATTAGACTTTCTTTCAAATAAGAGCCACTTATATCATATGATATAAGTCATATAGCTGGATGGAGTCACTGAAGCAGTCAGCATGAGCTTAAATGGGCTCCAGATGGTAGAGGACAGGAAGTCTTGGAAGAACATTGAACATGGGGTTGCAATGGGTCGGACATGACTTTGCAACTAACAACAACATATCATCTGATTTCACATATTGTATGGGGCCATAATGCAGTGTCCTTGAGTTTGTTGGTGTCCTATATGAACCAAGCCATTGTTTATGACCCAGCATGTTGCGTGAACCAACCAACTGTGGCTTAATCAACAAATTGGGACAGAAAACTATATCCATCTAAAATTTGTTGTTTCCATTGCTGATCCTTACTGTGGTGTTTTGTTTTTTGTCTTTTTCATAGCCTTGACTTCTGGTGATTTCAAGGACAAGTCAAAATACTTTTTAAATACTGGAATAGCTAAGTGTCAAACTCCACATAGCTAGACAAGATCAAGGAAGCAAGACTTACATATATTTCAGGAACTTCAATGTTAGTCTGGGGTAATTACAGAATCTTGTAAACTGCACTAAGAATTTTCTATTTATAATGAGCCAATTAGGATGGAGGGGGCGGAAGAGCCCAACTGCAGGATAAGGTGTCGGGTCCTTTGGGAGGGAAGGAGGGGAGAGGGAGGGAGGGAGGGAGGGAGGGAGAGCGAGAGAGCGAGAGAAGGATAGTTGATGGCCTGGGTGTGTTGTTTGGCAGCAGGGATCTCTGGGAGCTGGGTGGGACCTTGGCAATAGCTGGCTCTTGGCATGTAGGCTTTGTTGAAAAAAATAAATAAAAGAGGATGAAAAAAATATACTGGGGTGGTGGTGGGAAGACAGAGGCAGGCTGTGACATTGGGGAGGAAAAGAATGAGAGAGACAATAGAAGCTGGGATTGGAGCAACTTTCCAGAGGGCTGGGGGGGAGCTTGGGGGGGCAGGGAGTGAACAGTATCAGGTTGGGGGGGATGTGCAGTTCACAGTCCCTTGACCACACACATCATTGGTGAGAAAAAGAAACAAGCACTTTAAAAAACAGCTTTCATTGGAATGGAATGGAAAAGTTGCAAGGGGCCTGGATTAGGTCTTCTAGTCCAGTGGTTTCCAACCTTGGCAACTTTAAGACCTGTGGACTTCAACTCCCAGAGTTTCTCAGCTGGTTTTAAGTGGTCTTGTTTCTTTTTCTCACCTATTACTACTTCGATGGTGTGTGCTTACAGGTGGGATGGTGTGTTTAAGGGAATGTGAATATCCAAGGCATGGTTCAATGAGAGTATGAAGTATGGAGCCCCCATTGTTTCTCTAGTTTGGGGGGGGGGGATCCTGTGTTCATAAGATGAATATTTACCATCATGCAATTCACTTGCTGCCTCTCTGCCAGACTCCCAGGCAGTGGTTCTCTGGGAGGGGAAGTCTCAAAAGCTTCTACCATAAACACCACAATTGCTGGAATTATCACCTGCAACTGTACCCCTTGCAAGCACCCCTGTGGTGAAGATCCAGCTGCTGCCAAGATCCCACCCAGCATCCAAGATTCCTGTCACCAGAAACCACACACAGGTCNCCTTACTTACTGTCCAATCCTTCTTTGTTGACTATAGTTGTAGTCCCTCGTGCTTCGTAATATTGTTGGTTGCTCATCAATGTATGCATGCCAAGAATAGCTACATGAGAGAAGGGGGGGGGAAATCAAAGAAAACAAAGTTAAATAAATTTATAGACTTGTCATTCCTGGGAAAGTGATAATCTGGCCAAGACACTCAGTAGCCTAGGAAAAATGTGAAATAACAGTGATAAAATATTTATTTTGAAAGGGAATATTGAGAAGATCCATTGAAGCTGAGCACAACTTGTATGTTCAAACAGGATGTGATTTCTTATTTCTTCATGCTTTGGCTAATTAGGCTTTTTTTTTTAAAAAGGAAGCAGCAACATGCTACATTGGATAATTAATCATCCATTATCAATGGATTCCTAACTGATATGACAATGACCTGCATATCCTATTAAATGTAAGAATTTCAATGCATCCACCCACTATGGGAAACAGGGCTGGGATAAATACAGTTCTCTTCACTACTTGGCAAATTGCTATATCTTACTTAGTGAGCTCTTTGCAGTAATGCATTACCATTTAGCAAGGCCTCAGTCACATTTGTCATCTAATTCCAGTATGAATAGAATCTGAGCTATTGCCAAGATCTGAAAGGGCTTAATACACATAGTCAGTTTGGTGTAATTGTTAAGGCATCAGGCTAGAAACCAGAAGACCCTGAGTTCTAGTCTCACTTTTACAAAGCCAGCTTGGTGGCTTTGGGCTCGTTGCCTTCTTTCAGCCTTAGGAAGCAATGGCAAACTACTTCTGAAAAACCTTGCCAAGAAAATTGCTGGGACTTGACCTGGCAGTATCCAAAAATCAGACATGATTGAATAGAAGAAATAAACACACACAATAAGTTGCCTTTTTGATCTCAGAATAAATAAAAGCTTATTTGATCAAAAAATTAGTCCATACCTAGCATTTTATTCTGACATGCTTTCAATAACACACACATACAAATAATATCTTATAAAGCTACATCCACTCCTAGATTAGGAAACATGCAACATGCTGGACAGCTGCACATTTGATGGCAGCTTTTTGTTAGGAATATACTAAGTTCTGCAGTACCATAAGTGATAATTGCATATTTTAGCCAGTTATTTGTATATACTGTATATGTTGCAATCAGCAGCATTTTAGAGCAGACATTCCAGACTTGCATTTGAATGAAAATGAAGCAGCTCTTTTCTAAAGCACTGCCTGCCACCTACAATTTTTGTAAATCCTTAACAAAATATTCAATCATTGGTTGAATGACTAAGACTACAGTCCCAAAGGACTCATTAGGGTGCAGATGATGTAAGCTGTATTCTTGATTCAGGAGAACAAAGAATTTCCATATTGTCTTCTCATTATATATAATATATATTTCTGTATTTAATTTGCTTTATTATAAACACTAGCTTCGATCATGCTCCAGAAGTTCTTTAACAAGCAGCAAAAAGCACAGTCAGATGTTCAGTTGCAAAGGATCTGTTTTGCTAAAATGTATCTTTTTTAAAAACCCTCATATTTTTTAAAAAAATTCAATCAGATATATATTTAAAATATCAAAATAATTACAACATATTTTTCTTTTTGTTTCTAGTTTATGGCTTCTCAATTAAAGAAACATTACTAAGCTGAACTGGTCACTTGTAATATCCCAGAAGTGGGAAAATCACTGCTTAGGAAAAAATACGTCAGAAAATAAGACTAAAACAACCTAAAAATAAATAATTTATCAATTCAACTTGAGATTTCACAGATATCAAGTCATCTCTTGTAAACAGCAGGCCTACGTTTTCACTAATTGTCTTTTCCATTTCTGTATGGTTTTAGCCAAGAATCAATGAGGCTTCTGCTTCTAAAACAAATTGGAAGAAATGCCTGCCTCTCTGGTTGGCTTCTGGCTTATTAGTGCCACACCTCCACCTGCTGTGCTGTAGGTAGATAATGCCTATTTGACAGGTTTGCCCTAAGCAATTTACAAGTCCAGAGATTCCAAAATGAGAGTGGGCAGTTTGCCCTGTTGCCCTTCATGGCCTCTTCTTGTTTACCAATTGTGGACTGCACCTTGATTTACCAAGGAACTCCAGGAGATAAAGCTACCAAAGAGATGTCTGGAGTCCCACTGAATGAACTTAAAAGAAGCAAGCTAACAAAACAAATAAGAGTCCATATCTGGGATTATCTTGTGTTGATAAGGCAGAAATGTTTCTCTGACCTTATTGTATCTACCAATTGGACAACTGCAATGTTCTTTACATGGAGTTGCTCTGGAGGACCACGTAAGAAACTGTAGCTGGTCCAGAATGCAGCACTGCAATGTAGGGTGCACGTGTTACACTCTGCAAGCTGCACTTGTGGCCAATAGATTTATAAATGCAATTTACGATGCTGATTATGACTTATAAGTCCCTTCATGGAATAGGGCTATTTGAAGGACTGCTTCTCTCCCATGATTTCTGCTGAATATACTTATGCAAATTATTACAGTATATTGTAGTCTTCCAACAAAGTGTACCACAGGTAGTCCTTGAATTATGACCACAATTGAACTTAAAAATTCTGTTAAAATTGTTAAGTGAATCTGGCTTCCCCATTAACTTTGCTTGTTAGAAGGTTGCAAAATATACTATATTGCCAAAAGTATTCACTCACTTGCCTTTACTCGCATATGAACTTACTGTAAGTGATATCCCATTCCTAATACAGGGTTCAATATGACGTTGGTCCCCCCTTTGCAGCTATAACAGCTTCAACTCTTCTGGGAAG